AAAGAGTATATCTTAAAAGTTCTTGTCACAAGGAAAAAAATTTGCTTATAACTCTATGGTGAGGGATGCTAACTAGACTTACCCTGGTGTTCGTTTTGCCCTGTATACAGATGCGGAATCATGCTACATGACTGAAACTAATGTGATAGGTCAGGTATACCTCAAACAAAAAAAAAAAGCCAACAAAGTGGATTGAATATACAAGGTGATACCTGAGCTAGTAAAATGAAGCATAGAGAAAAATGAGAAGTCCTAATGGGTGAGGAAAATGGAGTCATAATTAAGAAAGAAATAGATAGGAGGCTGGAAATTTCAGGTGGTCCACTAGGTAATGACGTCAGCCCAGAACATCTTCTGTGTTCTCCAAAGAGGTGTCAGTTACAGGTATGAAGGGATCAGATTTGACGCCAGTCATCTCTTCCCATGGAATGTTTGAAGACATGCCCCTTAATTCACAGAGTTTTTTAAACTATAAAGAAAAACATCCGTGTGGGTACAGAGGGACCAGAAGAGATGCATCGGAGAGTAACAAAAAGTACACAGAGGCTTGTTGTCCTCCACATCTTGCCTGTTGCAGCTCTCCTTGGTTTTGATGTGACATGATGTTAATCATGTATTTCCTATGTTGCATGTATATAGTGAATAGCTATGAATGTTGTAATTTCAACAACAAAAAAGTCCATTTTAATCTATAGGTTTCCCCTCCCTTTTTTCTTGCAATTTTTTTTCCCCAAAGGTCAGGTCATTTGTCCTGTAGAATTTATCAGTGTGTATTTTGCTAATTGCCCCCTGTGGTGATTTAACATGTTCCTCTATCTTAAATTTCCTTTAAACCAGTAGTCAAATCTAGAAGGTTAAGGAGAGTCAAGTTCAATTATGTGAATTTCACGGATGGTGTTCTGTACTTCTACTGCAACACCTCAGGGGTGGGGGGGGCACAGAATGTCTAGTTCTCTGTTTTTGCAATGTTAAGACTGATCAGTGGGTTCAGGTGCCGTCAGCCTGATCCTGGCATTAAATAGCTCCCCATCAGCATTTTCACTTAATAGTTTTAACAGCCGATGAAGAACCCTAGCTTGATTCATTCGCTGTTGTAAAATGTTAACGTCCTATTTCTATCATACCATCTGTATCTTTAAGCCGGAATTAGAGTTATAATGCGAAAATGTCCCTCACAAGTATTACCCTGAGGTGTAGTTTGTATAAGGCAGGATACACACTTGATTCTTCCTCTCCGGTACTCGGTCCTGGAAGGCTCGTAATCAGCTGTCCATTACCTGTACTACCACAACAAGCCAACACTTCTGCTCCAGAGACATGCATCCTGGGAGGCCAGCTCCATACCCTGCTCTTGCTTCTTTGATCTCTTACGTTTAGAATGTACATCCTAATCGGTGATACCTGGTTGCCCTGTGGAGAAATCTAAAAGACTGCACAGCCACACATTACATTTTGTGCCACTCTGGTGGGACTGAACCTTTCCTTTCCTTTCCTTCTTTTCTTTCTCTCTTTTAACGCAGGTACAATTGTAACAAAAATCAAAGGGGAAAAAAAAAATCGCCTTTTTTTTTTTAAAAAATTTATTAATTTATTTGAGAGAGAGAGCACATGAGGGGGGGGAGGGTCAGGAGGGTCAGAGGGAGAAGCAGACTCCCCGCCGAGCAGGGAGCCCGATGCGGGACTCGATCCAGGGACTCCAGGATCATGACCTGAGCTGAAGGCAGCCGCCCAACCGACTGAGCCACCCAGGCGCCCAATCGCCTTTTTTTTTTTTTTTAACACAACCACAATACCACCAGTGGTCCTGGAGCAAGGGCTCTAGAGTAGATACCTGATGAGAACTCAAGTCTGAAAACAACCCATGTGGCCCATGGGTAGGGTTCAGTTATTATTACAGAGAAACATTTCTGTTGGAATGCTCATCCCATCAAGGCCAAAGATTTGTTTGTTTTAGTCTTCTGTGCAGCCCCAATGCCTGGTGCATAGTAGGTACTCAACATATTCGTTAAATAAATAAAATGAATGGGTTTATCTAGAACATACTTATGCTGCATGAGTTTGGTTTACTAAAAAAGAAATTAAAGGGAGACAGGATTCTTATTCTGACAATTCACCTAAGTCTCATTAAATAGTATATAACTGCTTTTTTTAAAAAACAGGAAAATATATTTCCATTAGCATTAGTTTCGTCAGTTCTTTGTGCCATCTGTTCACGTAACATTAAGTCAGCGTCACTACTACTACAGTTAGCCCATTCCTTGTTACGTATATAATGCCTTTTTTTTTTTTTTAAAGATTTTATTTATTTGACAGAGAGAGAGGGAACACAAGCGGGGGGAGTGGGAGAGGGAGAAGCAGACCTCCCGCTGAGCGGGGAGCCCAATGCGGGGCTCGATCCCAGGACCCTGGGATCCTGACCCGAGCCGAAGGCAGATGCCCAACGACTGAGCCACTCAGGCGCCCCTGCTTTTTTAATAAGGGCTTTTAAATATACTATGTACAACCAGGTGAAACAGCAACTTCTTTTTTGTTAGTTATGTTCAAAGTGGTATGAAACGCACATAATTGTGGCTTGTTATTCAGAGAGCAGTGAGATTTTTCATTTATAAAACAGAGCATTACAACTACATGAATGGCGTAAATTACCAATGTCTATGGATGCTTTTTAGTCCCTAATTTACTTGACTGTTCTGTGACATTTGACACTATTTGGCCTTCTAAGAAACCTGGATCTTTGTGATAAAACACTCCCAATTATATTATAATAGAAGTAACAGAATTTGAAACCTGACTAAAAGCAAATGGTGTATTTTCAGAAAGTGTGTTTGAAGTTGAAAAGAAGAACTAAGAACTTATCCTTTAAAACCAACCCAAGACTAATATCTTAGTTTTGTTCGTATTTGATATAAAGGTCAACTTTGTACAATTAGGTGTCAACAGTATAGCTTAAAGGATCCTATTCAAATTTAGTAGCCAGAAGTCTGTGTAGACACAATTCCATTACATCCAAACCAAACAGCACTTTTAAAAAAGGTTAACTGTAAAATGAAAATTTAACTAACCAAAAATACAGAACTCTCAACTTAAGAAAGCTGACTACATTCAAATAGAACTAATAGTATTTCTCTTAAACTAAATCAGGCGACACCCCCAGCATTTTAGGAGCAGCCAAAGCAAGATTCAAGTGTCTGCCACCCAGAATATCACTCAGTACCAACTACAACTGTATCACCCACCTCCGAGATCCCAATTCCACTTTTCTCCCAGCAGCAATAAACTTAATCAAGAGACCTCTCTAAACTACATGATCTATTCTAAGTGCTCTGTAGGCCTCTCACCTCAGCTCTTTCACCCACTTTTCTACCAGGTCTCAAAAGTGAACTAGGTCAGTAATGCTTTTCCCACCTGTCCACACTTTAAGCACTTCATGTAGTATCTTTTCTAACTGCATTTTCCGTTGGTCAGTGACCTAACCATACAATTTTTCTGCTTTCCCCATGGTGCCCAATCATAATGATCTAACAAAAACATTTGATGAATTGCATTAGACAATCATTCAGGTGATTTTAGTATTTTTGCCTTATCTAGGTATCAGTGGATCCAAGGGCTTTACAGATTTTACAAAAATGGTCCTAATTCTCCTCTTGGGTGTTACCAATCTGGCTTTATTTTTGACAGTAACTGTCCTATTTTCCTTTTGTTGCAGAAATTTAGAGAGGAGTATTCATTGAGGTAACTCCCTTGTTCAGGTTTCTTTACTATGGAGGGGGTGGGGTGTAATAAACAATATGGAGAGAAAACGTAGAGTTACAAAGAAATCTTCGTTCCTATACACTGAAGAGCTCATCTCTGCTGTCAGGTTCCTCTGGCAACAATTCTTTTGGGGTTACTCCACAAGACACAGTATGTCTTGAGTCACCCTTGCTGATCAGTCTCTTGTCTACCTGCCTAAAGGTAATTTTATTTTTAAATAGCTATTAACAAAGTTTTTATATATAAGACTAAATCAGGAACTCTAACTTTGGGGCATCTGAAGCAAAACTGTCTGCAAAGAATCTTTTCCAGATGTCCCATATACAGTAACATCTATATTTCCAAAACTGAGGATGACATTAAAATACCATTACCAAAGCCCACGTTTCCTTTGGTAGAAACTTGGGAAAGGCACCCAAAATCCTGCCTTTATTCTTTCCCATCAGTGGCTTTTGCTAATACAAATTACCTAAATGCTTGAAAACAGGTCTTTAACAAAAATGTTCTATGTGCCAAATAAATATCGAAAATACCAAAATTTTAAGTTGTACTTTTGATAAGGCAAATTCACCTTGTAGGAAACTGTCAAGTCAAAATGTTCAATAGGGGGTGGGAGGATGGGTTGGCCTGGTGGTGGGTATTGAGGAGGGCACGTTCTGCATGGAGCACTGGGTGTTGTGCATGAACAATGAATCATGGAACACTTCATCTTGAACTAATGATGTAATGTATGGGGATTAACATAAGAATAAAAAAAAAAAGGAACAGCAAAATGTTCAATAGGTAACTTTCTCTGGTGTGCACAGGAATATAAAAGTGAAAGGCCGATAGTGTTTTTTTAAATCGGAGATTATAGCATTAATATAAGTATGGTACTAAAAGTAAGTTGGCTGGGAGCAGTATCTTCTCTTGTAATTTAGCAAACAAGAATAACATATGGAAGGAAGTACCCTCGTATCCAACAACTCAAAAATGTTCCTATTATGTGGGCAATATATAGTTTTGGATGAAATTTACTTTTAAAATAAAGGATAAACTACGACGACTCTAACTGTATAGTTTCCTATATGCTGATCTATTTTAAAGTTCAACAAATCACCAACAGAATTTGTAATACTTTGGTGTACAGATTAACAACTGTTGATCCTCTATAAAATGGTAAACAGTGTAGAGGGAAAGATGATGACCGCTGCTGGGTGAGGACTGGCTTGGCTGTTTGAATGAAGTGTCTTGGAAAATGAAAAGTATCACAGTGCAATTAGAATTTTATTATTAGTTTCTCCATAAATCAAGGTTTGACATAGCACGTTGGCACTTAATAAAAGTCCTGTTACACTGTTCTTTGATACCAAGAAAATCAAGCTCAACGAACCAACATTCAAGTATTTTCTGCATTTTAAGATTCAACATAAGGTTCTTTACTGTTCTTCCCAGCGAGGCAGCTCCATCCAGATGAGATCAGATTAAGGTCATCTCTCAAAGCTAAACCAAACCAAATCAAGGTACACTTATTAGATCACTTTTAACTTACACAACTATCAAACTCCTATTGAAGGGAAAAGGATATAGTTGGTCTAAATTTTTTTTCTCCTTATATGACCCTTTTTTCTTAAAGAATTGCCTTTTTCCCAATTAAGCATCAAAAATTAAACAAGTTTTGTGATTACATTATGTTCAAAGCTGATTCTGAAAAATCAAAACCAGTATTTTAAGGAAAGTACTAAAATTTACTCAGTGAAATTAAAATTTTAAAAATTATCTTTTCCACCCAACTTCAGGGTATTTAAAATATCAAGTAATTTCACGAGTTATCCAAGTTACATTTTCTTTATATATACTGTGCTCCTATTTTGAATAGCTGTACTTCACATGAAATGGGCATTATTAAATTTTAAACCCTAAGTATCCAGAAACCATCCTTTTAATTCCTACTGAGATCCTTTCCGCCCATAGTAAAATGCAACGACATAAACTAAAAAGTATGAGAATCAGAAAAACCAAAGAAAACCCAACTAAACAAAACCCCACAACAGCAAAATTGTAGCCCCCATTTAAAAGGATAAAAAAAAAAGCCACAGCACACTGTAGGAAAAATTTATTTGTCTTACACGTTAAAAAAAATCTCAGCAGTACACATAACTATAAATTCAATCTTCTCAAAGAGTTACAAAGTTTAAAGAGAAACTTTTAATTGCTTTAGGTTTACATTTTTAATACTCTTAAATTTACTAAGAGAATATATCAAAAAACCAGATTCAAAATGTTAAGGCATAAACTTTATAATAACGGGTCTACTATTCGGCCCCCAATGCCAGTTCTGCCCAATAGCGCAGCTCACTCCACTCCGACCTACAGTTCAAGAATGAAGTAAAATAGGTGAACACTAAATTTTCGCACCAATTGCTACAAGCATTAAAAAAACAAATGAGGGTGGAAAAGTTATGTTAACATCTTACACGATTTCACTCCTTCCTTCTAGAGAGCGAATCGAAGGCTGAGCTCTTGCCCCAGCTCTAAAACACGCGCCCGTCCGCCCCACTCCCCGCAACTCCTTCCTCCCTCCAGGAACACGCAGAACTAACGGTTTCCGCGGCGGCCGCGCGCCGGGGCTCCGCGGGCGATCCGCGCGCCCCGGAAAACAAAGGGGATTCCCAGCCATTGTCCTCCGCGGCGCTGAGCATCACCAGCACTAGCAAGGCAGTAGCTTGCGCAGTTATCTCCACAGCGGGCAATGTCACAACCCGACCAACAGCACAAACTACTACCTCAGCCAGGGCCATGGTGTCGGGGAGGCAGCGGACCAAGCCGAGCGCGAGCGAAGCGGCCGCGGCTCTCCTCCGTCCTTCCTCCGCCGCGACGTCGGGCCGGCGCCCCGACCCTTCCCCGCCGCGCCGCGCCCGAAAACCCCGCCCAGCGCCGCGCCGCTCGGCCGCTGCGGGCGCGCCCCGACAGCGCCGGCGACCAGAGGCAGAGGCGGCGCCCGGGCCGCGCGTCCTCTCCGTGGCCGACCGCTCTGTTGAAAGAAGAGGTGCGGAGGGGTCCTGGCGGAGGCAGCCGCTTCCTCCACTGTTCCGAGGGGAGCGCGTCCCCTGGGCCACTCGAAAGCAGGAAATGGGCGGCAAAGGCGCAGCCAGACGCCAGCGCAATCAGGACGGTCCCGGAGGCAGCGAGTCGCGCTCCCGCTCCCTGCCCGACGCCCGCCAGGAGCTCTGGACCGTCCCCGCCGCGCTCCTGCCACGTCTCCCGGGTTGCGCCGCCCGCGGCCCTCCCCACCCCGAGCCCGCGGTGGGGGCTGGGCGGAGGCCGGGCCAGGCGCCTGGGCCCCCGCCGCCGCCACGCTCCCTGCACCCGGCGCGGGGCCGGCTCTCCGCTCGGGCGAACGCCCCGGGCGCTTCCTGCAGAGGACACCCGCTCCGGCGCCGCGATAAGAAACCAAGTCACAGCCCGGAAGTCCCGAGGCCACCCGTTCCCCAGCACCCTTCGGGGAAATCCCGTACACCTCGGCAGGAGGCGAGAATAAAACAAAAGCCCCGTAACACTGAAACCGAGCCGGGCGGCGGGTTGGGTGGCAGCGGCGGTAGCTCGGCGCGCGCAGGGACACACGGGCCGTCTCGCGCTCCGCTGCTCCTGTGCGTCCGGACGAACCATAGAGATCACTTAAGGAGGCTCGCGCGCTACTCCCCACCACGTGACCGCCCCGCCAGGCCGCCTCCCCCCCGCGCCGCCATCTTACATCCGGGACAGGCGGCGTCCCGTTTCCCCGCCTTGGCAAGTTTCGACGTGTCACTAGAATAATCAGCCCCCAAAAGGGGGACCCCAATTCCACGTCACCAAAGTGCTGCGGCTATGAGCGTGCCCCCCGGTGAGCTTAACGGGGCAAACTGGAGCCCCTAACTTCTCCCGATCTTTGCCCGCAAAGAAAATGGCGGCACTTACCGCCGTCTAAGTGGACACGTTGTACTCTGGCCAAGGTTCAAAGTTTCCGGCACCTCCTTTTCTATCCCGCAAGGACACGGCCATTTGCACTCCACCCTGCGGGTGCCCACTGTACTACATTTCGCAGAAAACCGGCGGGAGAGCCGCTGCACAGCTCGCTTTAATGCGCAGGCTCCTGGGACCTCTGGGTGGGTGGGTGTTTTGTTTGGTTTTGTTTTGTTTAAAGGCCAAGTTTAGAAAAAGGCCTCCTGCCGTGATCCTTATTTGCTGTTGGTCCAGACAAGTTACTTTTTGCCTCACATACTGAGATTTCTGTAAGTTAACAAATCATCTTGAAGTAAGCAGAGTTTGCCCGATGTAATACAGAACGTCCAGCTAAATTCGAATTTCAGGTAAACGAATAATTTTGTGTTTGTACTTAAAAATTATTTGGAATTCAAATTCAGCTGGGCGTCCTATATTTTTATCTGTTAAACCTGGTAACCCTGTTGGTCATCACGCTGATGCAAATACAGACTACGCATAACAAAAGTAAGGAATGGAGGAATTGAGAGGACTGTTCAGACGTGGGACTGACTTCTGCGCAGTTTGATCCTTTAATGGTGGCAACAGGTCTAAGGTCCAGACTCTAAAATACCTAACAGTGCATAAGGGACATTCGTGTATAATTTCTTTTTGAAAGAGTAAGATCCCCGCCCCTTAAAACCACAGTATAATTTTGAATAAAAGATTCTCACGACCAAGAGTCTCATTGACTCTTTGTTTATCAAAGATTACATAACACTCTTTTCGTTTCTATTCTCTATGAGTGATGGGACACAATTTCACGAGCAAGTTTTCAAATTACTACAAACCTTGCCTGATATAATTCGAAATAAATAACATTTGTGTGTAATATGCAGTTTCAGAAAATAGAATAAACTTGACTATCCACTAACAGATCTCAATATTATGCTTACTGTAAGCATTTTAAAGCAACTACTAAAGGTAGTTTGCCTGGGATGTCACTGAAATATTTCCAATTAATAAAATTTCTGTACTTCTGTATTTTATGTGTGCATTTCTGTATTTTCATGTATTTGTTTTTGTGTGCATATAGAACACATTTGAAATTAAATGCTTTACTTGACAAAAGCAGAAATTTGACTATGCATCAAATGATGCTTACCAGAAAGTCTGCAGAAATTTTACTAATAGTTTCATTATGATTCTTACCACCCTGTCCTGATAAACAGGTGATGCCATGGCATCACCCTCCACTTTTCTTCAGTTCACAGTGGACCCCATTATCCTGCATTCATAGCAAATGTCATCTGTCATAATAGCACAGATTTTCAAATTCAAGTTTTCAGTTGTTTGGTCTACAGTATACAGATACAGTAGAGCAATAAAGTTTCCAACTAAATTTAGTCACTATACTAAATTCAGCTGCTCCCAATTCCTTTCCACAATTAAACTGTTTTTGACAGTGCTGACACCAATGTACTCCTCATCCACACATGGCGTACTCTTATCAACAATCTTTAATCCAGCCATAATACACAGAATCATATGCTTTCCCAGTGTGACTGCCCTCAGCTTCTCAATCCTTCATCATGACCACACAGCAGGAAAATTGCATACAGCTTCTACCTCAGCTTTCCCTGCTCTGTATTCCTTCAACTGCTTATAACTACAAGTTTATCTTCCTTAGTTTCATAATTTACTCCCCAAAATAATCACTCCAAGCTCCTGCCATCTGAAATCTAGTCTGCTTGGCTCTCAAAAGAATTTCATCAATGGGCCTCAGTCCCTTATAGTCAACCTTGTTTCACACAACACACTGAAATGTACCTCATATTTCACAGTACTCCTTGCTTACATTATTTGTTTTTACCTGAGATATCCTCCAAGATCCTTTGGACCCATGTAAAAACCTACCTACCCATCAGGGCCCATTGAAAATCCTACCTCTACCATCAGGCTATTTCTTTTTTTTTAAATTGATTTTCCTTCTGAATACTAGCAGTAAGAATACCCTAAGCCACAGAAGACTAGGCCATACTACTTTGTGATCCCATAGATCTCTGTACTTTCTATCACAGTACTTTGTACACTTGTTAAAGATCTGTATTTCCTTCAAAACTAAATTACATGAGGACAGAGACTAACCGAATGCCTAACAAGGGAAACTAAAACATCAAGGACAGGAGTACTTTATATACAGTTTTGTATTTTTTCATGTATGTAGCTATAAGCACCTAAGAGCTCCCAGTGACTTTGTGCATATAGAAAGGACAGTTATGAGCATACAGTCGTCTTAATTAATACACAGTGGTTGTCCAATAAAAGGCAAAAAAGCGGTCTTGTGAGAAGGCATAGGTTTTGTGCTAATGTCTTGTGTATCAAAGTGTATTTTATTTACGTAACATCAACCTAGGTGCCAGGGACAGTGCTTTATAACACTATTTAAACCCTAATAAACAACTCATGAGTTAAACACTACTATTAAATCCAATTTACAGATGAGAAAACCAAAACAGATTAATTAACTTGCCCGAGGTGACACAGAGCTGGGATTTGAACTTAGGAAATCTGACCCCAGACTCTGGGCTCTTCATCACTATGCTACTGCTTATAATATAACCTCTTATAAGAAACTACAAATCAGTAAGATGTTTCAAACTGTCCTGGACCAATAATAAAAACCCAACACAGCTCTGGAGGTCATAGCCATTAGACAAATCTTGTTTCACAGTATTTGAAGTTCTTTGTTATGTCCCAATGCCTATTCATAGAAATAACTGTCTAAAACGTATTTTAAATTTATTTTAGTAAGGCTTGAATTTTAATGGAGAAAATTTTTTGAAGATGTGAAACTAGCATGTTGTAGTGGGAAAAAAAAACTGCTTTTGAAGCAAGACATGCTTGTGCACAGACTGTGTGACTCTAGGCAAGTCACTTCAGCCTTTAAGCCCTGATTTCCTCCTCTGTAAAATGCGTATAATATATAAAACCTTCTTTGTAGGACTGCTATGAGGCTTAAAAGGAATAATATAGGAAAAGCTCTGGCTGACACATTCTAGGTACTCCAGAAATGATTACTAAAATGAGAAATTAGAAAACTTATTATAACTACACTTAACTGCTATAAATACTAGGTAGGCATTTTTCAGTATACCATACACTTATTACACAACTCATATTCTCAAAAAAGAAATTTTAAAACAAACTGTTTTTCTTTGAGAAGTAGAGGGGTGGTCTGACATTGCTATAGACAGGCCATCTCAGTATCAGCCTCACTAAATTAAAAATAAATAGGAATGCTTATAAAAATAAATGATTAAAAGGGTCTAATCCACACGAGGATTGTTTTTTTACTTGACCTAGAATTTTTACATAAAGTTCTAAATCTACTTTCTTTCCAAACAGCTGAGAAATACTTCATAATGTTCTTCTGATTGAATATTCTTTTAATTTTTATTTTACATATTAATAGTTTCAACAAAGCTCTCAAAACACATCCCTATTATTCCATTTTATAAAAGTTTTTCCAATTTGACCATACATATAAACCATCCTAAACATATTTGAATCATTACTTATGAAGTCTTTAACCAGAGCCAATTATGTGGGGTGTCTCTAATGTGTTGAACCTAATGGGGATGAGAAAGTAAACACAAAGTATATTAAAGAAGAAAATGAATCATATATCAGATCTGAAAGTAAATTGTCAAAGTAGTTATGATTTTAAGTTACACTGAGAAAACCAGTAGTGCTGGAACATAATTAAAAACCTAGAATCGTGCTGAGTGGTAACTGTAAAGCAAATTAAAAATCTATGTAATCACAGCTATAACTATGCAGTTTTTGTGAAAAATCTATCCTAGGCCACAAAGAAAACTTGGGTTTGAGGCCAAAAGACTTTCATGATTATAATATATAACTGATACATCTCAACAACATAAAAATTGTAAGGAGAAAGTGTAACAACAGCAGTATTACTTTCAAGAACTGTGTTGGGAGCTAAAAAAGAATCTCACAAAATTAGATAAATATATCCAGTCTGACATAAACACCATATGGTAACTGCCTAAGAGACAGGAGTTCTATGTTATGTGTTAAAATTATGACACAGAGGTAGTAAAAGATGGAAAGCAAATGCAATTTGCACAGTTGGGTCTGAAGCCTAATATTCTATTTTATTTTTCTAGATAAAAAGAATAAGATTGCAATGTTATAGCTTTGGAATTTTTCTTCCATCTAGTAAAATTTCATAGAAAGAAGGAGTTGTTATTATATTGTAATAGTTTCTCAAATAATGGCACAGTTTAGCAGATCTTCCCTGGTTGCATTCCTTACTGAATGTTAGTTTAAAATAAAATTTAATGTAACTACATTTGCAGCAAGTGAAATGGCCTCAGAATTCAAAGGTAAAAAAATTATTTTTTTTCTTAACTGAGGGGCTAGATTCAATCCTATAGTGTAATTAGGAACGTTTCAACTGACCTCTGTGTCACTGTAAGCACTAAGCACAGGGATACCAAATACACTCTAGAAAGACTTGGAGATGAGTACTCTAACACTGTAGCTCTTCTCCAAAGAATACTGTTTGCAACAGAAAATTAGAAACAGCTGAAATATATGGGCAATATGCTGCCTGAAATCCTTCTGAAAATAGGCAGTATAAGTATTATAAATAATATTTAGTTAACATAAAGCTAATAATTCAAAGCATTTGCCTCTAAAAACAAAGAAAACCCCCCTCCAAAAAAAAATAAAATAATTTTTAAAACCTCATTTAAACAGATTTTAAAGACTCTCAGAAAAGTGGTATAAATCTCTATCCATATAACAGAAAAGACATGATTGTTCCAAGTTTAGCTGCTGAATTCATCGTATTTATAGCCATCCCATTTGTGAGCATCCTGGCTGCTGAATCCTGTGGTTTCAGAAAGATAGCAGAAGCTACAGTCATTACTTGAACTTGTTCAGCTATTTTGAAATGGCAGGGGGACTTCACCTTGGCAAAAAAGTAATAGTGGCCAAAGCAGAAGGTACTTCCAGAATCTCACTTAATAATAAGGCAGTTGGCAGTGGTCCTACCACTAAACAGCTCTGCTTCTTTTGAACAAAGTAAAGGTGAAACTAAAGGAAGAGCTGGAACAGAAGAGGCAGAAAATAAAAGGAATGAAAAGGAGAAAAAACTAGCGGAAGTATAAAAAAGATGATAAGGTAAACAGAATTTTTTTTTTTTAAAGATTTTATTT